GAATAAAACTCTCACAAAGAGTAGATATGAGTGAACTAGTAAACGCTCAAGAACACGACAATTTCTTCAAGAATTGGCTCTCAAATAGCTAAGAAAAATAGGAATGCTTATGCAATGAAAGAGTATTGAAATGTTGAAGAATTGTGTTTAAAATGAGAGGATTTGGGTGCCATTTTATAGCCCAAAGTGGGATAAACCCGTTGCTAGAGTTTCCAACAGGATGAAGACAAATTTTTCAAGGACACAGGCTGATAGTCGATTATCCAAGCTTGATAATCGATTATCAAAAGATTCCTTGTCCAAAAATTTAAAATTCTATCCGTTGGAGGACAACGGTAACCCAGATAATCGATTGTCAACAAGTGATAATCGATTATTGGTCCTCTCAGAAGATTCTGGGTTTTGGCTGCAAGGACTTATAATCGATTATTGCATAAGTGATAATCGATTATTGCGTGCTTCAGAACTTTGGAAGTTCAAAGCTGCAGGGGTTGATAGTCAATTGTCACTACGGTGATAATCGATTATCACCCAGCTAAAGTCTAGCCAGCTGAAACCCGTTTTGAAAAACCGAGGTCCAAAAACGAAGTGTTCCCAAAAGTAAAAACCAGGTTTGAAAAATATTTTATATGGTATAAAATAGTGAAAACAAGACTTGTTTGGTAAAAACCAAGTCCCCAAGGTCGTACAATACGTGCGTACGGTTTTGACCGTTTTTTACGTGTTAGACCGATTGACCAAGATACAAAAGTGGTTTTTATAAAATAATTATTTGGGAACATTTTAAAAATGCTCAGAGGTAAAAACAGGGTTTAAAATATTGAAAACCACGGAGTTGGTTCGGGCGCCAAAAACCCAACGCCGAAAGCCGAACGCTGAAACTCGAACGCCGACTTAGGTGGTTTCGGTTCCGAGCAAGGACCAGGGATTTTAACAATAAAATAAATCATCAAAAATGTTTGTTTTGATGCACAAAAAATATTTTATGAATTGTAAAAAATTGTTTTGACTTTTTGAGAACCGAGACTTGAATTTATTGTCGGTTTTGATCACAAAAGACCGACTCGACTAAGTCTTCAATTCTTGATCCTGTCCTTGAGTCTTTTTGGTCTTGTTCCAAGCCATTCTTCACGCCTTGAGTTATTCAACGAAACTCTTTATATCCACGGCAGTTTGGCAATTATCAAAACCTGTCAGAAATGAACACGATTTTAGTTTATCGTACAAAGTGTGTTCCAACAACACCATTTTAAAATATACTTTTTTAAATATGTTTCATACATAATTAGTTAGATATCTAAAAAAAACTATAAAATTTATTAATCTTTTGAAAAAGAAAGCCTGATGTTGTTTTTAATAAAGTATTCATTATTTTCTCTCTTATTAAATCTAAGAATGAAGGTTTTTTTAAATTTTAGTACATGTAAATCAATATTAAAACTAAAACATTTCTCTCAAAAGAGATACTTTATAGTTAGAAAACATTTATCAAACACATCATATATCATTAGATAATTTAAAATAAATAATATTTTATATTTTAGATGTCAAAATTTTAAAAATATGCGAGCACGTGTGAGGCAAAAGGTGAATACTAGTTATATAATAAAATCCATTTATTTATTTACTCTAGTGCAACAACTATTTCACTCCTAACTTTTTACACAATATTCAAAATTTCACAAGCAATATGTTGTTGATCATCTTTTCACGAGAACTATCCAACAACACTAATATTGGATAAATAATCTTATAATTATGACAAACTTATGTTTTACTCTTTTATTTTTACTTTCTTTATTCTTTTGGGGCGGTTAGGCAACTAAGTTTTGTAACTTGGATTCACACACAGAATACATTGTTAGGTTTATCTCTTCGAGACCAACAATCCAAATATAAATATGAACATAAAACGATAACTCTAAAGTATCTTATTTTAGCCATATAGTTCAATTCTTAGTTAATAGTAGTAAAATTAGAATTACGACTAATTAGAAATTAATACTACGTCCATCAAGTGTATTCGTCTAGTTTGAGTTTTTCAAGTCAAACTGGATAAACTTTGGACTTCAATTAAATAAAAACTATAATGTATATTTGTGTAAAAATGATTTAATTATATTTATCTACTTGAGAACCTTCAAAAATTTATTCCATTTTATTAATGTGCAATACAAATTGAGAATCGTTGAATATTAAAATTTGTCGAGTTTGACTCAAAAAAAGTCAAATTGGATGAATACACTGGGATGGAGGGAGTAGTAAATTCTAGGTTATATTTTGGGGCGTTACACTGTTTGTGGAGAAATGGAAGGTGGGGTTATAACTTATAACACCATTCACCTAAAGGGATCGATCCACCCAACCCAAGCCTCTATGCTTTGGGAAAACATGCACCTTATGTAGGAATCCATGCATCTATTAACCACATCTTTTTATCCATACATTTTTGGGTGATAGAATGAAGACAAGGGTGGATCCACTGCATGAATTGAAAATCGACCTTGAGAACAGACACTAAGGAATGAAACATCCCTATCACTTAAAATGGACTAGAGCAAACCATGCAAAACTTGCATATGTTGTCAAATACACTTGAGCAACTTCCAAGTTTGTATAGGGGTATGATATGAGTGAAACATGGAAGTACTTACAGAACGTGTCAACCACCATAAAATTAAATCATTAACCAATAGAAAAAGGTTTGCCTTCAATGAAATCCATGGAAATGTCAAGGGAAAGTCTAACTGTAAGAGACCCTAGTAGCCAGTTGAAAAACCTAATAACTCTTATAAAGCCTAATTTCCTTGTTTATGCCCCTCCAATAGAGCCAACTTCTCTGTTTTTTAATGGAAGCATCCTTCTCAGATTGGACACCACTAGGAGAAGAATGACTACATTGTAGTAGTTTGGTTCTGATTGTAAGCTCTAGTCCTACCACTAGTTTTTATGCCACTGTGGGTTAGTTGAAAATAAAGAGTATTTTTTATTGTCTTTCCCTTGTTGCAACATGCAATTGTTCAATAACAGACAGAGTTTTGAATCCTTTTGCCAGCTTGCCTTTATATTCTCTTAAATACCTGATTCAATGGAAGATACATCAATCTTTAAGAGTTGTCTCCCTCTCACTTTTAGCTATGTGTCACCTCTAAAAATTTCCTTTCCATTTCAATATTGAATTTCATTAGTACTCCCTTTGTCTCTTTATATATATGAGGAATATATATAATAACATTATGTATCCAGATTTATAACATACCACCTAAAACACAAACAAGGGTGAATTCTTTTTAATCCAGAATTAGAGTTATCTTACATATTTATTATGGTCATTATTTAGTTCAATTAGACAACCAGCAGTTGGAAAAGAGTTGATATCTTTTGCTCCACGTGCCATTTTGATATTTTTTGTAATTTTCAATAATGAAGGGTATGGAGATGAGGTACTACTCCCACATTTTGTTATTTATTAGGGTCTAATGCTTTACTAAGGAAAGCAATGGGATGATTGTTCCCTACCAGTCCACCAGAATTGCTCAAATCCAGAGTTGTGAAATGTGGTTCATGAGTTTCTATCATAAATACAACAACAACAACCAGTTGAATCCCACTACAGTAGTCTAGAGAGGGTGTGTGTACGCAGACCTTGCCCCTACTCGAAAGTAGGGAGGCTGTTTCCAAGAGACCCCCGGCTCAACCTGCACAAAGTTATGGAAGGGAACACAGTATAGTACGGGTAAAGCACCAAGTACAAGCAACAAGTACAAGCAATAGAAAAAGATTCCAAACAAACACAACACACTACAAACAACCTCTACAGCATCGAGCTCTTATCCAGCTACTCTAATCCTATTTCTCCAAAGGTTCCTATCTAAGGCCATATAAATAATTGATCGAAAGAGTCTTGTTTAAGGTTGTCAAATGCTGCAAGAGTCTCTAAGTATCATTTGAAACCTCCCTTGTAGGTAAATTAGTCTAAGGTTTGCTAATGAGAGGATAGCCTCATAGTCTTTGATAAACGCTCTAATTCCTATAGTACGCGACTAGACGTAAACCCCTTCTAAGATCTTGGCTGATGTTGGTGTATCCATCATTGCATAGTTTAAAATAATATGTTTAGTGGAAACTCCTTTAGAAGCAAACATACACTTACCTTGTTTAGCTAAGAAGGAATGTTGCTTAATATTGTCAAAATACCAATTTGGTCAAGGGAGTCGTCTTTTGTCTTAATATAAATCAAAATATCATTAAAAGTAATGAGAACAAACTTCCTATGAAATGGATGGAACACATTGTTAATGAGATCCTTGAATTTCGCAAGTACATTAGTTAGCTCAAAAAACATTAACAATAACTCGTAGTCTCCACAAGGTGTCTTGAGTGCAGTTATATATATGTCCTATTTATACGATTTGATTTGATAATACTTAGCACGATGGTCAACCTTACTCTCAATATGGTAAAACTCGTTAACTAAACAGATTCTAAACTTTCCATAACAATATATGAGCTTTCTCTCTTTACTCTCTCTACCCCCTTTAGCCATCAAATATAATTTGCAACTCTTATTACTCCCTCCGTTCTGGAAAAGAGTTCCACTTTTGACCAAGTGGTAAAATAAGGAAGTGTTAAATTATAGTTGACTTCCAATTTTTCTCTTGATATGATGGGTAAAAGTAAGATGTGATGATGGATAGATTTTTAGAGAAAAGTATGATATGATAGGTATGGTAAGAAAAGTAGGGGTAAAAAAGGTTTTTAACAGGAAGTGGAAAAGTTTTGTTGGAAGTGGAAAAAAATGAAAGAGTATGTGTTTTCTTAGAAGGGAGGGAGTATAATGTAATTAAAGAGTAATTATATCGGTTTTTGTTGTTAGACAAATATGCAACTCTATAGGGGGGTGAATAGAGTTGTTTTCAAGAATGTGTGTTTTTCGTGTGTGTGAAATAATAAAATCGCAGGAATAAATAAAGAGAGTAAGGGAAAGAAGAACACCGAGATTTATACTGCTTCACCACCTCGTGACTAGTCCAGTCCTCCGAGAGACTCTCTCGAAAGTCCTACTATGTTGGACAAGGCGTGCAACTCTAGAGGGGGGGTGAATAGAGTTGTTGAGAATGATTACCGATTTTCGCAGGATTAATAATATAATCGTAAGTGCAGCGGAAATAAAAGAGAGAAGGCAAAGAACACACCGATGTATACTGGTTCACCACCTCGTGGCTAGTCCAGTTCCCCGAGAGACTCTCTCGAAGCTACCACTAATTCCGTTAAGCTTACGGGTGCTTAACAAACCGTTTACAACTCGAGAACTTGAATCCCACAAGCCTCGACACAACCGCTCGTAGATATGCCCTCTACAAGACTTCACAACCACGACTTAAATCACATAAGCCTTGCACAACAAGAAGAACAATCTTCTTCAACCTCTCAACAATAGCTCTCAAAAGAGTAGATAAGAGAAATGATTAAGGCTCTAATGGATGACAAAACACTCTCTTAAAAACAAATAGTTATTCTCTCAAAATAATATAAATTTGAGGAAAGATTGATGGAGGATTAAAATCTCAAGAATGGGGAGAATTGGAGTGTTTCTTATTTTGAAAACAGACCAAGGAAGAGTGTTTAAATAGATGAAAAAGAAACAAATCCGTTGGAAGTGGGGAAGGCTGATTTTGACAGAAAAAAAGTCGTTGGGGATCGATCCAAGGGTGAGGATCGATCACCTGGAGTAAAGGATCGAACAAAGATTTTTGCCAAAGCTACGGGGGATCGATCCAAGGTTGGGGATCGATCCTCTGGAACCAAAAACCATGAGATGGATTTTCGCAAGCCTTCGGCGGATCGATCCAGGGAGATGGATCGATCCCAACCCCTGAGCGCAAAGCAATATGATCGATCCACAAGAAAGGATCGATCTAATGACGGACAGAGCCCAAACACGAGGACCCAAAGTATGTGTGCGAGTGGGATGGATGTTTGGAGTTAAATGCTTTGTTTTGGACAAGGAAATCATATCAAAAGGCTCCCCAATCAACCAACATAATTCAAATTCAAAATTTGAATTACAAAAAATATTTTTGGTGTAGAAAATGAGTTCCAAAAATATTTTGGTGTCAAACGATGTACACGAAAAATATTTGAATAAAATATTTTTGCTTACCAAAAATATTTTATATTATCAAAATAAATATTTGATAAATGTTTGGCACACCTTTTGTGACTGACTCAATAAAACTATTTTGAACAGCTAAAATGATTTTTCAACTGACTCCAAAAATAAATATAATTTTTATTTTAACTCTCATAAAAATAATTTTGGAGAGAAGATATTTTTGTCATCCTTACAAATATTCCTACGACTCAAATAAATAAAAAGTCTTCGGAAATCTTCTACTCCTCCGATTTCTCTGTTAGGCGCTCCGAATGCGTCTTGGACTCCATTAAAATCGTGTGCACCTTCTTGAATACTTCAAGGAATGGCACTTTAGGTCTTCGTGTTTGTCGTTGTAGCACTTTGATCTTGACTTGAATAAATTGTGTTTGTCAATTATCAAAACCTGTGAGTCAACACTTAACAACACAGAAAGGGTTGAACTCATGCATTCCAACATACTAATCTTCAAGCTTCAACGGGTGCTTGAAAAACCGGTACAACTTGAGAACTTGAATCACACAAGCCTCACTTTCTTACAACAACAAGACTTGAGTCACACAAGTCTTTAGAACAACACTCAAATGAGATTGAGTTTAACAACACAAGAATGAAAGCTCACACAATTGAGCAAAGTAGTGTTGAAGAATTAAAGCTCTATGGATGACAAAATCTTTAGCACTCAATAAAATATTTCTAACTCTCAAAATAATATATTTGATGAGGAAGATGGAAGCAAGAAATGAATATAGCTCAATGAAGATATTGGAGTGCAAGAGTTGTGTCTAAAAATGAAGGAGAATGAAGGATTAAATAGGCTAAAGAAAATAGAACCGTTGGAGCAGACTGAGAATAGGCACCAGACAAAATTAATCGATTAAAGTGGAGAAAGTAATCGATTAGACCATGCTGTCTGAACTAATCGATTAAGGTTAAGAAAAAAATCGATTAATTAGAAAAAGTCTTCAGCGAAGAATACAATCTTAATCGGTTAAGTTTGATGGAAAAATCGATTAGACTGCGCTATGAGAACTAATCGATTAAATGAATAATAAAAATCGATTAATACTAAAGGCTTGAGAAATCCGGAACTGGATCTAATCGATTAATTTAGAAAATTTAATCGATTAAAGTGGAAATAATGAGCAAACATAAAGGGCCCAAGCCAAGTGTCATTGGAAGCCTTTGGCTTCTAACTCGTTGTTTGGGAACAACGGGAATATCAACGGACGCTCCTCTCCTATTCAATGAATTTGAGTAGGGGAGAGAAAAAGAGTCCAAAAATTATTTTGTGTATCAAACGATGTACACAAAAAATATTTAAAGTATATTTTTCTTATAAAAAAAATTGTGTAATCTTAAAAATATTTTTAGAAATTTTTGACACACTTATTTTGAAACTGACTCAGTAAAATATTTTTAGACAGAGGAAAAGTAATTTCTCAACTGACTCAGAAAATAATAATTTTTATCCCTCAAAAAATAATTTGTTTGTGCAGAAAGTATTGTCATCCTTACAAAAATTTCTAGACTCAATTAAAAGAAATCTTCGGAGTCTTCACTTCACTTCAAAAACTTCTGCGTAGGGGTAAGCCTTGATTTTATCTTGATACGCCTCTTTGCTTTTCTCGATATGAAAATAAATTTTCGATCAGCTTGAATTTAATCATCCTGTTTGTCATTCATCAAAACAAAAAAAAATCTAGAAGAAATAGTAAAGGGGTTTGAACTCATGTCCAACAATTTCCCCCTTTTTGATAATGACAAACATAGTTGAGAAAGAGCAAAGTAAGAGTTCAAAAAAAGCTACCTTTTAAGAATAATTCCCCCTGCAAGGTTAGAGAAGTGAAAAATATCGGAGTAAAAAGCGGAAAAACGTTTTTTTTAAAGGTTTTCTCAACTATCCTTTCTTCCCCCTTTTGGCATTATCAACCGATAACCTTCCCCCTTAATCAATGTCGGGATATTGAATGATAAATTTGTAAGAAATTTTCTTAAAAAAAACTTCTAACAAGAATGCCACAAAGGGACAATAAGTTCTAAAAGAGAACCATATTGCCAAACCAACAAACAAATACATAATGGCAACATAATCATTCATCAAAAGAGTCATTAACAACAACAATAACAAATAACAATGTATCATATTAAGTTAAGACAGAAGGAAAAAACAATCAAAGAGAGTTCGCCGGACGAGCTCCTCCGCTAAAGCTGTGACGCGGGCCACGGTAGGATCGGGATTGCTCAAAACGAGTCATCCTCTCATTGAGCTGGCGAACGTCATCTCGGATGCACGTGAGAGTATCGAAGATCCTCTTCACCCAAGAAGGTTCCGGTGCTTCTTCTCTTGTACGAGTCCTGCGTTGACGAGTGACGCGCTCCGTGGCTCGACTTCCTCCGGCACGAGATGACTCTGCTTGAGTCTCGTTTTGGCTCTCTTCTTTGTCTGCGACAATCAGGTCCAGATTTGGTGCAGCATCGCCCTCCTCACGGTACACGATCTGGGAAAACTTGGCTTTAGTGATGAAACAAGTCTTCTTGACCGGCACCTGAGTGTCCTGAGTAAAGTCTATTTTGGAATGTGCAAGGATATGCATGATGGGGATGGCAAAACGAAGATGGGAAAAACGAGTTCCATCACTAAGTGCAACGATAAAGAAGTGAACCCAATCAAATTTGACATCGTTCAACAGGATGTGAAACAAACGAATATCGTCCTTGTTGACAACGCCATGGTTCGAATCACGGGGCAACAAAACATAGGAGAAGATGTATTGTTGGACGCGTTGAATTAAAGTGATATTAATGACACTCGGGTTGCTAGATTCCAAGATTAATGCCTCATCTTGGAATGTTTCATCCAAGTTTTTCGGTAATTTCACCTCGACGAAGGCCAAACAGAGAAGTCAAACTGGCACCGTCAATGAAAATGGTTTTGCCGTCAACATAGGAAATGAGAGATGGCGAGTCTCCCTTAGTGGTACGAAGATTTGCATAAAATTGACGTATAAGATTTGGACAAAAGAATTCATACGTCAAATGGATGAAACGAAGCAATCCTTGCTGAGAGAAAAGAGACTTACTCGGGGCATAGGTCGCCGATTTGAAGAGGTCCTTGTTCACGATCTTAGGTGAGACGATCTCCTTCGTGAGAAAGATGTTGTGGAACCTCTCGGCTGAAGCTCCAGTGTTGAAGGCGAGTCCGTTTTGGATGTGAATATACTTGCTCCCTTCACGACGCCATGGCCTCTCACCTTCTTCTTCCGCCGATTCTTGACGTGATGAAGCGTTCTTGCACCTTGGCATCTTTCCTCTTTGAAATTGATGAAATTTGGTGAGAAAATGGAAGAAATTTGAGAAATTTCTGATGAAGTTTGAGAAAATAGGAGAAGGGAAACAGCTAGGGTTTTGCACTGTCTCTGTAAAACTGAGATGGCGATGAAGATGAAGGCACTGTCTGATTATAAAGAGAAGCAAAAATCGAATATTAATCGATTAAAAAAGGTTATTTAATCGATTAAGGAACACAGCTGAGGCCAATCGATTAAATTAAACTAATTAATTGATTAGAAGTGGAGCAGAACCAAAGACGTTTGCGCTTCAGGCTATTAATCGATTAAACAAAGATGGTTAATCGATTAAGATGGACAGACGGGTCTAATCGATTAATTTAACAGGATTAATCGATTAAAAGTGAAACAAAGCTAAAGAAGGTTTCCTTGAAGGATTTTAATCGATTAAAAAAAGGCTAGTAATCGATTAAGAGGGACAGAGGCGACTAATCGATTTCTCTTCGAGGAGTAATCGATTAAAACTTGTTTGACAGAAAAAATCATCAAGTTCAATTTGGTTGAATACCAAGGGGAGAGATACTTGCAATAAAAGCCCTGGAAAAAAATTATCGCGCCTCCGACGCTCAAATTAGTATAGTCAATAAAAAGAATGGATTAGTTCATAGAGATATCCAAAATGCCAAGTTCGTTCCGAATGTGGAAGAAACTCTCCCTACTAAGGGGTTTTGTGAAAATGTCCGCCAATTGATGTTTCATTTCAACAAACTCAATTGTGACATCTCCCTTTTAGACGTGATCTCGTATGAAGTGATGCCTAATTTCTATGTGTTTAGTCCTCGAGTGAAGAACGGGGTTCTTCGTTAGACTAATAGCGCTCATATTATCACACCTAATAGGGATGTGATCAATTATAAGGCCGAAATCCACTAGTTGTTGTTTTAGCAAAAGAATTTGGGCACAACAACTTCCCGCAACGACATATTCCGCTTCGGTGGTGGAGAGTGGAACACTAACCTGTTTCTTACTAAACCACGAGATTAACGAATGACCGAATAAGTGGCAAGTACCGCTGGTACTTTTCCTATCAAGTTTGCAACCTGCAAAATCCGAGTCGGAATAGCCAACAAGATGACATGTTGAACCTTTGGGATACCAAAGACCTACGTTCAACGTGCCCGCGAGATATCGCATTATCCTTTTGATTACAGCCAAGTGCGACTCTTTAGGACATGATTGATACCTAGCGCATATATAAACAGAGTACATGATATCCGGTCTACTCGCGGTAAGATAAAGTAAAGAGCCGATCATACCTCGGTCGCGCTTGATGTCTACCTCTTTACCTTTTTCATCCTTGTCGAGATAGCAAGAGGTGCTCATTGGTGTGTCAATGGATTTGGATTCGGTAACATCGAATCTTTTAAGCAATTCCCTGCAATATTTTATTTGACACACGAATGTTCCTTCTTTTCATTGTCTAATTTGCAGCCCAAGGAAGAACTTTAATTCTCCCATCATCGACATTTCAAATTCATTTGCATCATATCAGAAAAATCCCTGCACAAAACCTCGTTAGTAGCACCAAATATGATATCATCTACGTAAACCTTAAACCAAAAGGATGTCTTGGTTATCTTTCTTGATAAAAAGAGTAGTGTCGACTTGACCCCGTTTGAACTCATGGTCCAAAAGAAATTTGCTTAACCATTCATACCAAGCACGAGGTGCTTGTTTGAGACCGTAAAGCGCCTTTTTGAGTTTGAAGACATGTTTGGGAAACTCATAGTCTTCGAAACCCAGGGGTTGTTCGACATACACTTCCTCTTGAATGATACCATTAAGGAAGGCACTTTTAACATCTATTTGATAAAGTTTAAAATCCATTGTAGATGCAAATGCAAGTAATAGACGAATAGCTTCTAAACGTGCAACCGGTGCATAAGTATCTTCATAATCAATGCATTCTTCTTGATTGTAGCCTTTAGCTACAAGCCTAGCTTTGTTTCTAGTGATTACTCCATTTTCATCGAGTTTGTTACGAAACACCCATTTTGTGCCAATAACGGAATGATCATTAGGTCTAGGAACCAATTCCCAAACATCATTGTGTTTAAATTGGTTAAGCTCCTCTTGCATTGCCATAGACCAATGTCCATCATTAATAGCATCCAAAACGGTTGTTGGTTCAATTTGTGAAACAAAGGCCATGTGATTAATTGTGTTCCTAAGAGAATTACGAGTAGAAACTCCATGCGTTATGTCACTAATGACATTGTCAATCGGGTGGTTCTTCAATGTTCTCCATTCCTTAGGAAGCTCCGTTTGTTCCTGCGTTTTCTCTTCTTCCGGTTCCTTTTCCTTAACGATTTCTTCTTCATCATCATAAGAACCTGCAACATTATCAACAATACCTTTTCTCGCCAAGCGAGCATCAAATTCATCAAAGACAACATGAATAGACTCCTCTACGGTCTTAGTACGCTTGTTGAACACTCTATATGCCTTACTACGAAGAGAATAGCCTAAGAAAATTCCTTCATCCGACTTAGCATCAAATTTTCCCAAGTTATCTTTTCCATTATTATGAATGAAAACTTTACATCCAAAGACATGAAAATAGGAAAGGTTAGGCTTTCTTCCTTTGTAAAGTTCATAGGGCGTTTTCTTGAGTATCGGTCTAATGACGGCTCGGTTTAACACGTAGCACGCGATACTCACGACATCCGTCCAAAAATATTTAGGAAGGTTTGCCTCATTGAGCATAGTTCTAGCCATCTCTTCAAGAGACCTATTTTTCCGTTCAACCATGCCATTTTGTTGTGGTGTACGGGGGGCTGAAAAATTATGCTCAATGCCTAATTCGTCACAAACAACATCAAAGCCGTCTTGATCAAATTCTCCCCCATGATCACTTCTAATGGATGCAATGTGAGAGTCTTTTTCATTTAAAACCAATTTAATGAATTTCTTAAAAGCATTAAGTGCATCATACTTATGAGCAAGAAAGAGTGTCCATGTAAACCTCGAATAGTCATCAACGATAACAAAGCCAAAGTAATTACCTCCTAAACTCATAGTTTTTGAAGGTCCAAAAAGGTCCATGTGCAAAAGTTGTAATGGCCTAGTCGTAGAAACAACGTTCTTTGACTTAAAAAAGGCCCTTACTTGCTTCCCCTTTTGACATGCATCACAAATTAGATTCTTCTCAAACTTAAGTTTAGGAACACCAATTACTAAATCTTTAGAAACCAACTTATTAAGATGGTCCATATTAACGTGAGCTATCCGACGATGCCATATCCACGTTTCTTCCTCTTTAGTAATGAGGCACTTAGCTATGATAGACAGGGAATTTTCAAGATCAAACATGTAAATGTTATCTACTCTACTACCACAAAGAATAGTCTTATTGTCACACAAGTGTTCTACAATGCATTTACTAGAATCAAAGATGACACGGTTACCTCTATCGCACAATTGGCATTGCTAAGAAGATTGTGCTTGAGGCCCTCAACAAGAAGAACGTTCTCAACGGTTGTAGCATTGTCCTTCCCGACGGTGCCACTTCCAATGATTCTTCCTTTGTTGTTGTCACCAAAAACGACATTGCCACCTTTGAAATACTCTAAACTCCTAAATTTGGATGCGTCTCCGGTCATGTGCTTGGAGCATCCGCTATCGAGATACCAAGAGGTACTCGAAGCCTTCAAGCACACTTACAGAAAGATATCAAGGAGACGGTTTAGGTACCCATGTATTGTTGGGTCCTTTTTGGTTAGCATATGTGCGATGTGTGTGCGTTTGTTGAAAATGCCTAATTTTGGTGAAGCACACGGGTGCAATGTGCCTATCTTATTACAATAATGGCAAATAACGTTTGGATTATTCATCCTATATGGTTGAGTGTAATGAGTTCTAGGTTTGCTAGGATGTGCTTTTCTAGTTTGATTATTTATCCTAGCATTTTTATTCCCCCTAGCTTTAACAAATGTTGTTTTTCTAGGTTGGTTTTTCTTATTTCCAAGTCCTTCACCATTACTAACTTTTTGCTTAAGTATTTCATCTAAGGTGTTTGAAGCATTATTAAACATTCCCAATTTGCTTTCTAAACTAGCAACCTTAGCTTTTAGTGATGTACAACTAGAGCATGTAGAAGAAGTAGTTGAAGGTTCTTGTGGCCTTTTTCCAAAAGAGATAATTTCTTGTTTAAGTTTATCATTTATATTTTTGAGTTCTTTGATTTCATTTTCAAAAATTAGGATTTTTTTCTTTATTTCATTGTTTTCTTTGGAAGCCTTTTTGAACATTCCTACCAAATCTTCTACAATGCAAACAACATCATTAAGAGTTAAAGGATCATTGGGAGAAGGTTCTTGATCACTTACCTCTTTTGATGTATCACCATCTTCAATGACCATGAGACATAAGTTGGCCACTTCCTCCGTTTCCGAGTCTTCACTCCCGGAGCCGTCGTTCTCCCAAGAAATGTAGGCGCGTTGCTTCTTCAGTGCCCTCTTGTCCTTCTCGTTATTGAGCTTTGGGCACATTGGTTTGATGTGTCCAATTTCACCACACCCATAGCATTTGGGTGGAGTGTTCTTCTTGGCTCCCTTCTTGAGCATCATCTTCTTGAATTTTCGGACAAAGAGTCCGAGGTCGGTGTCGTCGCTGTCATCATCTTCATCATCAACGTTGTTGTGGGTTAATGTTGTTGCGGGTAGAGCAATAGACCTCTTGTTCCTCTCTTCAACCACCTTTGAGAGTTGGGTGGTTTCGTAGGTAATAAGATTACCTCGAAGAGCATCATAGGTCATTGTTTGGAAGTCACAACCTTCTTCGATTGCGTCCACCTTTGAACGCGTAAACCCCCTATCCGAAGCGTCGTGGAAAGAGTGCTCGAGAGCCAGCCACATACAGAAGGGCTCTTCTAACTCTCCTAACTACTACAATCTCTTAGAGAGTTTGTAAAGGAGTTAGAAGAGTAAAAGGAAGTAACTTTTCTCAAGTATGAGCACTCACTCTACCAGCATTTTGGCCTCCCGAACCTGCGCGGTTCCTTTGTAGGTGACCTCCAATTTTTCCCACATTTGTTTTGCGGTTTCACACCTCGAGATTTTGTGGTAGTCATCCGCGTTAACACCGCAATAAATCATGTTTATTGCCTTTGCGTTGAGCTTCATTTTTTTGCAGTCTTCGTCGGTGAACTCCTCTTCGGTTTTGGGAACGTTGACTTCACCAACTTTCTTCATAGGGACTCCGCAGCCGTTCTTCACAATCAACCACAGCTTGTAGTCGTTGGATTGGATAAAGATTCTCATCCTCTTCTTCCAATACGAGTAGTTTGTTCCATCGAACAAAGGTGGCCTTGTGGTTGATTGTCCCTCGGTCACTCCCGCGTTGAACATTCTTGATGCCATTTGATCTTTTAATTCCTGAAAAAATAACGTATTCGAAGAACTTCCTGCTCCGATACCAATTGTTAGACAAATGTGCAACTCTAGAGGGGGGGGGTGAATAGAGTTGTTTTCAAGAATGTGCGTTTTTCACGTGTGTGAAATAATAAAATCGCAGGAATAAATAAAAAGAGTAAGGTAAAGAAGAACACCGTGATTTATACTGGTTCACCACCTCGTGGCTAGTCCAGTCCTCCGAGAGACTCTCTCAAAAGTCCTACTAATCTTCAAGCTTCAACGGGTGCTTGAAAAACCGGTACACTTTGAGAACTTGAATCACACAAGCCTCACTTTCTTACAACAACAAGACTTGAGTCACATAAGTCTTTAGAACAACACTCAAATGAGATTGAGTTTAACAACACAAGAATGAAAGCTCACACAATTGAGCAAAGTAGTGTTGAAGAATTAAAGCTTTATGGATGAAAAAATCTTTAGCACTCAATAAAATATTTCTAACTCTCAAAATAATATATTTGATGAGGAAGATGGAAGCAAGAAATGAATATAGCTCAATGAAGATATTGGAGTGCAAGAGTTGTGTCTAAAAATGAAGGAGAATGAGGGATTAAATAGGCTGAAGAAAATAGAGCCGTTGGAGCAGACTGAGAATAGGCACCAGACAAAATTAATCGATTAAAGTGGAGAAAGTAATTGATTAGACCGTGCTGTCTGAACTAATCGATGAGACTACGCTGTGAGAACTAATAGATTAAATGAATAATAAAAATCGATTAATATTGAAGGCTTGAGAAATCCGGAACTGGATCTAATCGATTAATTTAGAAAATTTAATCGATTAAAGTGGAAATAATGAGCAAACATAAAGGGCCCAAGCCAAGTGCGATTGGAAGCCTTTGGCTTCTAACTCGTTGTTTGGGAACAACGAGAATATCAACGGATGCTCCTCTCCTATTCAATGAATTTGAGTAGGGGAGAGAAAAAAAGTCCAAAAATTATTTTGTGTGTCAAACGATGTACATGAAAAATATTTAAAGTATATTTTTCTTATAAAAAAAATTGTGTAATCTTAAAAATATTTTTAAGAAATTTTTGACACACTTATTTTGAAACTGACTCAGTAAAATATTTTTAGACAGAGGAAAAGTAATTTTTCAACTGACTCAGAAAATAATAATTTTTATCCCTCAAAAAATAATTTGTTTGTGCAGAAAGTATTGTCATCGTTACAAAGATTCCTAGACTCAATTAAAAGAAATCTTTGGAGTCTTCACTTCACTTCAAAAACTTCTGCGTAGGGGTAAGCCTTGATTTTATCTTGATACGCCTCTTTGCTTTTCTCGATACGAAAATAAATTTTCGATCAGCTTGAATTTAATCATCCTGTTTTTTAAAGGGGTTTGAACTCATGTCCAACATTTGTCTCTTTATAAATCTCTCTATATAACTCTCTCTACGATCAAATGTCTCTCTACTATTTGATCAAATCACCTGTTGCTCTCTGCATGCCGTCTTCTCTCCCCCTTCTGGTTGTTTGTGGTTGGGATAGCAGCATAGGCCGACGACATGCGACGGTGGTCAGTAGCTAAAGTAACCAGGTAAGTTCACCACACAGCCCACCCCTACTCTTATCCTACCTGACCCGCTACCCCTTTCCATGATTGTATTCCACCATCCCCAACCTATCTCTTAAGACATACCACCCCCAACTCGTCCCATCGGTGTTGACCATCCTCCCTAATCTGTTTGGCCTCTTGCCAAATCGATCTCCCCCCAACCTTAGCCTCCAACCTAAACCGACGACCCCTCTCCATTTCTAGCCTTCCCCACTGCATAACAATCCCCCTTTAGCTCTAGCCGTCCTCCATTCTTAGCCCTATACATAGCCCTTTCCACATGTAGAGTCTCACACCTACCACCTGATCTTGCCAGTCAGCCCCCCACCCCCACCCTCCTACCTAGGCCCTAACCTCACTCCCAGCCCATGTTCCCCCACAGCCAACCAATGTGATTTACTTTGCTTTCTTTACTTATTATATCTTAACTTTCAATTCTTTGCTATTGTTATTGCTTGTATTATTCTCTGCTTTGCACTACTTTATTATTTACGGTGTTACTCTGTCTTGCATGCTCTCTTTGTTAGTTTTTGTTGTTTGTGTTTGTGTTTTTGTGTTATGGTGTTTGTAGGGTGGATTTAAATAGTTATGCGGGTCTAAGGTCATATCCTGGGGTTGGAGGGGGGTTACATATAGGGGTGGAGTAGAGTTCTGTATGCATTTTGGCTCGTGGAAAATATGCTCCCTCACAAGTAAGTCGATCGAGTTGGTGCAGGCTATCAAGAGGAGGAAGATTCAAGTGGCATGTGTGCAGGAGACTAGATTGGTGGGTACCAAGGCGCGAGATGTGGATGGGTTCAAGTTGTGGTATTCAGGTGTTGCAAGGGGCAAAAATAGAATTGGTATTTAGGTGGGGCAAGAGTTACAGGAAATTATGGCGGAGGTGGGGAGGATTAGTGATTGGTTGGCAACCATTAATTTATTGTTGGGTGGCTTTGGTATCAACGTGGTGAGTGCATATGCCCCTCGTGTTGTCTTGGACGATGACAACAAGAGAGAGTTTTGGGAGACGTTAGATGGGGTGATAGGTAGAGAGAGTTTTTATTAGAGTCAACTTTAATGATCATATTGAGGATTCAATAGAAGGTTTTGAGGAAGTGCATGGAGGGTTTGGCTTTGGTGATAGGAACTCATAAGGAGTTTTGCTTTTGCACTTTACTGGAGACAGTTATTTGGTGGCCGCTAACTCATGTTTCCCTAAGCTCGAAGGTCACTTGGTTACATTTGTTAGAAGACTTGGGAGGACACAAATCAATTACTTCCTTCTTCATAAGTGTGATTAGGTGTTATGTAAGGATGCTAAAGTAAACTCGAGTGAAGACCTTACCACCCAAAAAAAGTTACGGGTGATGGAAATTAACATTGGGTGGGTAAAGAATAGGCAAACTACATATGGTTGTCCTCAAATCCGCTGGGGGGGTTTGGTGGGGATAAGTATCCAGAGTTGGCTGCAAGAGTTTAGAACAAAGGTGCGTGGGAATCCTCCATAGAGGAAAACAACATATGGTGTTACACAGCTAACTGCATCCAAGAAGTTGCCCAAGAAGTGCTAGGTGTGAGCTACGGTAGTGCAGGGCAGCATAAAGGCGGCAGGTGGAGTGATGAACAAGATAATGTGGAAACTAAGAAGATAGCGCATAAGAGGTTCACAGACTTCAATGATGAACATGATAGACTTTAGTGGAGTACAATCTTGCTCGCAAGGAAGCCAATTTGGAGGTTACAAGTGCAAAGATATTTTCTTTTGAATGCTTGTATAAGGACAATGAGGAGTGGTGAGGTGATAAGAGGCTTTTCTAGCTAGCTAAGACGCGTGAGAGGAAACCTAGAGAGCCGGAGGATATTAATGGCATATTTTTATTAGAGATGACAACGGTTTCCAAACAATGGGGAGTACTTCCATGGCCTTCGAATGCAAGTACGGAACTGAGACTTGAGTTTGGCAAGCTAGGGCAATCAAAATGGCATTGGGACTTTGAGTTTTATCGGTGAATTAGTCAAGAAGAGGTAGTGTGGGCCATCCGTAGGATGAGAAGGGGGTGAGCATTGTTGCAAGATGATATTCCAGTAGAGTTTGGGAAGTACGTGGGTAGCAGTGGGTTAAATTTGTGTAACCATGCTCTCAATTGTTATTTTTAGAATGAATAAGATGCTAGATGAGTGAAGAGAGAGTGTGATGGTCTTCTTGCACAAGGGTAAGAACACATCTACAAGGTATCAAGCTCTTTAGCCAGACCATAAGGTTTGGGAGCGTATCATCGAGCCTAGACTATGGAAGAGGGTGTGCGTATCTAGGAATCAGTTTGGTTTCATTCTTGGTCAGTGGACCACGAAGGCTATCCACCAATTTTAGCAGCTAATGGAAAAGTATAGGTCTAAGAAAAAGGGTCTACATATGGTGTTCAATGAAATTGAGAATGCCTACGACAAGGTGGCGAGGGAGATCATGTGGAGGTGTCTTGAGTTTAGAGGGGTGTCGATTGCATACATCTACACAATCTGAGATATGTATGGTGGGCGTACGACAAGGGTGAGGAAAGTTGGTGAGGTCACACCAGGGGTCGGCCATTAGTCCCTTTCTTTTTTATTTGGTGATCGACGCCTTGTCAGAAGGTGTCCAAGGGGAGGTCCCTTGGTGCATAATTTTTGCTGATGATATTATATTAGTTGATGAGACATGGGAGGTGTGGACTTGATGATAAGTTAGAGTTATCACGGCTTTCCTTGGAATCGAAAGGTTTTAAACTAAAGAAATCTCCTTGAATAAGAGTAAAAAGTTATGAAAATACTGAAATATGAGTCCTATGTATTTTGGGACCAAAATAAAAGTATAATGAAGTTTGATGTAAGAGTACAAGTTGGCAATGTGATGAAAAAGTAATGAAAGTGTAATATGGTAATGTGATCAATCAACCATCGGTGATCAGTGATGGTACTCTGGTGGTAGTTGTGGTGTGACAATGTCGTGAGTGTGACACTGTACCAATGGCAGTGTGAACTCTTATTTTTATCTTAAAAGACTTAGGACTCCTGTTTTGGTAGTTTCATAATTTTTCTCTTATCCAGGGAGATCTCCCGTTAAACTAAGTAGGACTAAGACTGAATACAAGATATGTTCTTTTAGTGGTGGAGTGACGAAGTTAGATGGGGAAGTTAGTATTGATTCCCACCTAGTGCCCAAGAGAGACAAGTTCTGTTACCTGGGTCCAACCTTCCAGACTGATGGGAAGATAAACACGGATGTTGCTCATCATATTGGAGCTACTTGGGCCAAGTGGGAGTTGGCTTCAGGGGCACTCTATGACAAGAAGATTTTGGCAATAATAAAAGGAAACTTCTATAAGTTTGTTGTGAGACCAACTATAATGTACAAAGCAAAGTGCTGGGCGGTTAAAAAAATTCAGATTCCACGGCTACATGTTGCGGAAATGCAGATGCTACGTTGGATTTTTGGGCAAACGAGGTTTGATAGGATCTAGAACGGCGCTATTCGGGGACGGGTGGGAGTGACTTCTATGGAGAGTAATCTACGAGAATCTTGGTTAAGGTGGCTTGGGCACGTGACACAGAAAAGTACTAAGGCTCTGGTGCATGTAGGGGTAGACCTAAGAGGACTTAGAAAGAAGTGGTTAGCCAAGACCTTAGACTTTTGGCCCTTGCCGAAGATATGGCCTTAGATAGATATTTTTGGAGAGATAAGGTTAGGATACCTTGGTAGTGTAGTGGTAGTTTTCGTGTGTAACGATGTGTGTGCTTCATATCCTTGGTGCTTTTTGCGTTTTTTTACTTCTATAGCCTGCTTTATGCTTTTGTTCTTTTGTTGTGTGCTTCTTATGTTACTTGAGTCAGGGGTCTCTTGGAAACAGTCTCTCAACTTTCGAGTAGGGGTAAGGTCTCCGTACACACATCCTCCCCAGACCCTACCTTCGTGGAATTTGGCAAGGTTGTTGTATCATAATGTAAATCAATACTTATAAGTTTTATTAGTTCAATACATTTAGGTTCAATTCAATATTTATTAGTTAAACCTTTTTTAATCCTGGTAGAGAACCTCTAAACTTCGAGGTGCAAGGTCCAGGGAAACCTTACCAAAATTTATTAAAGACATAGAAGAACGTACATACGAGGGAAAATAAAGAAAACCAAAGTATATATAAGTTTAGTGTTATATAAGTTCAATATAATTTACTACATAGTTCACTTTATATAAGCTCTACTCCACAGCCCTATAGGTGTTTCAATCTCTACATCATTGAAATTTGTAGCTATACTGCTAGACCACATCTTTGGAAAAAATAAGCTTCATTAAATCTTTGTACATTTTTTTAGTGCCCGATAACACATTGATTGGGTACGTGACAACCAAATGGCTCATGTACACATGTGCTAAAATTAACATATACTATTATGTAGAATATATTTGGCATAATGGAGGCTGAATTTTACTCAACAGGTCCGTTTAGAAGTTAGGGGGGTCAATCTACAGTTCATCTAAATTCTATGGCACGTTTGTGCCTCCCAATTGACGAAACACAGTCTCTAGAATTTTCACCATATTTACTTATTACTAAGACCAGTTGTATTTTAAAAAAACGTAAAGAAAAATATTTGAGGGCTTGAGGCCAGATGTGTGCTCATCAAAATAGCATCTGAATGATAAATAAATAATGGGTTTTGCATCTCATGAAGATATTTGTGGGTCTATTGCTATTACAGAATATTGTGAGCGGCATGCAAAGAAGGAAAACATCAGCACTCTAAAAGAAGACAGCGACGAGGATGAGATAAGTGATGAGTATGTTAGTGGTCACAGCGATAGTGATGATGAAGTTGTTGGACATGCAGACCCGTGATGTATCACTGGACGACTCGGTTCATTCAACCCATTCACTGTATCACTAGTGTAAATCTAGGGCATGCATTGTTACAGGGGCATGCATATGTATACAAAACTTGTCATTAAATTAGAGTACTCATTACTTTTATTGTAGATTATTTCAGTGCTTAGTAGCTATTTAAGATAATGAAAGATGAAAAGGCCATTTCTTGAATCAAAACCGTCCCTTTTGTCATGATTCTTTGTAACTATACAAACTTGACACACAGAGGGCTATGTTTTTATCAAACGTATGAGCTCCCATTCCATTTTCGATATTTGTTAGATGCGGGGTAGCAAGACCCTACTCCCGTGGGATTATACTGGGTTGTTTCTTCATCTACTTCAAAGATTAATTACATCATTTAGATCTCATATGCATGCTTAAAATGCCACTTCCAATGTTTTCCAAAAAGACATTTTGCACCTCATATATAAGTGTGCACACTTTGCCTTTCCCCTATAGAACTCTGTGATGTTAAATTGTGAGACATTATTTACTATCACGGTCCATTTGATACACGGAATTGGAATTGAATTTGGAGTTGATATTCTATGGCATTGATTTGCATGGAATCGAATTCTCCAATTACAATTCATTTTTAGCACTACCGATTCCAAATCCATATATTTTGTGCTACCAAACAGCAAAATTGGAATTGTTATCCCCAACTCCAATTCCATAGTTTGAATTTCATGTACCATACAGAGCCTTAGAGTATTTCTCTGTATTAGTGCTTATTAACTTATTGTTGATAAGTACCAATAAACTTATAAGGTTCTATAACTCCAATTCCACAGTTTGAATTCTATGTACCAAACAGAGCCTTGGAATATTTCTCTGTATTGGTGCTTATTGACTTACTAGACTCGTACCCGTGCGTTGCACAGACAAATTATTGACTAAAGAATCATCGAAAGTTTTGACGAAGGAAAATGATAAAAATACTTAAAGACACGATAATATAATATAATTCTAAAGAAAGAGAAATATACATTTATACACAATATTGATGGGAAGTGGTATAAGTTTTGAAAATTTCTTTTATAAACTACATTTATAGTTTGATTCGACAATGCATAGGTTTTTTAATAGTGTGTGCACGTGCACAAATGCGAATTGTTCTTGAGTTTTATACTTTTACTACTATTAGCCCTGTGCTTCACACGAGCTCGCATATTTATAAATTTTGACATCTAAAAAATAAAATAATGTTTATTTTAAATTATCTAATCATTGAATAAAATATATTAATATTTTTAATCTATATACTCCCTTCGTCTAAAAAAGATTATAATAATTAGACTTTTTTGGTAAAACTATGTAAAACTTTGATTACAAATTAAATACAGTTTTAAATAATTAAATTCCATAAAAACATGATATATATGAAAATAATATTTTAAATGGATACATTTTTTCTAAATTTACATTATAATTAAATATAATATACTTTTTGTACACTTTGTGGTCAAAGTATAGAGTAACTTGACCAAAATATCAAATTGTTATCAAATGAAATAATAGTGAAATTTTATTTAATTATTGAAAAAATAAAATAAAAATGCCAAATAAACCAATTAAGTAATGATAAATCATTAAAAGATTGTGTTTGGTATATGACCTATATGCTATGAATTATCCTACAACAAAAACAAATTTAGTTTATTGAATTTAATTTGTTGAAATATTATATAAAAATTAAATAATGTTGCGAAAAAACATTTTGAAGTAAAATATATAGTTAATAAATATAAACTTAAGAAAATATAGTTATTTCTTAGAAATAACAAAATAAAATAAATGGTGGATTCTTTTTAAAAATATATAAAATGTTAGTTTTTTAAATAATAAAGTTATTATACTTTTCTTTGAATAATCATATAATTATGCATATTTAAAAATATGTTATAATAATGAAATATATGTATTTCTAATAGTAAAAAAGCGATGAGTTTTATAGAAAGAAATCACCATATGTAGCACTCTAAGTCACTCAATATTACGCATATAGAACTCCTTAATCTTTTATACGAATTTAGCTATTTATAGTGTCAATACCTTCTATGCATACCTTGTATCTTTTATTATATTCTACTACTTTTAATTACTTTTAATTATTTTATTAAACTTAGGTTATTCGATCATGTAGCCACTCCTCCTCATTCGTGCGTCTCATACGTGCGAGAATATCATCCTACGTCATTTACCATAGCTCTACGAGATCCTCCTCCTATGCAGTTTACCAATGTACTAGTATCACACCTGTACGGGTCATTTTTATGTTATTAAATTCAGATCATTTTTCAGTAATAAAAAATGAGATGCAATAGAATATAGAGATTATATTATTTTAAGGTACAGAACATCAAGGTAACTTCCATCATTTGCTATGGGGCATTATTAACCATACGGGTTTCGGGTGCGGTTTGACTAACTACTTTCCCGATTATATATGAAAATTCAGAATAATACAATTTTATAAATTTCATAATCATAATATATGAAATGTATTTCATATGCTTAAGTATTTAAGTTATGTAAATGTAAATGACTCTTACCAACTAAAAAGACTTGGTCAGCAAACTTTGTTTTGAGTACATCTTCAAAACTCTTAAAGTTGAATCTTGGTCCTTCCAAAAAATTGCAACATGCAAGAGTGATTGGTAGTTTTTGTGCCTTGGAAATTTCGTATAACCTTGACCCTCATGATTAAGTAAATTGCATTTTCTTGCAAATCTTCTTTGAATGTGCGTATATTAGTATCTTTGATCTGAGCATGGATTCGATCGCCCTAATAACAAATATAAAACGTTAATTTATTATTAAATTTATATTTTTTGTTTAAATATTTATTATATGTAAACTATAAAATAATGTAGAACTAATCTCTGAGTTGTGGAAAACAATATCTAATGATTCCGGCCCTCGAGAATGAGCAGGAACGTGGTAAACTCTAACCGCTCTTAGCTTCATCATCAATAATCCAGAACTTTCGTCAACATTTTTTAAGGCGGTAATCATCCCCATGTTCGTACAAAAAACGATGCTGGAGCACCGATCAATTAAAAAACTTTTTTTTTAATTTAGAGACTCGTTGATTATCTTGCTTATCTCGCCCGATAAGGTAGCGTATTTATAGTATATGAATTTATGAATTTCGGTGTTCCTTTACTATTAATTGGTAATAATTAATTACAAATTTAAATTACTTACCTTTTTAATAATTTTCAATATAAATTATTTACGTTAGTATTTTTATTATATCTTTATATTCACGTTTAGAAAGTTTTCCATAAATGGGAATGAGTCAAAACCGTGTAACATTAATGACCCGTGCAAAAGAATTATTATTAATTTAAATTACTTACCATTTTAATTGTTTCCCATAGGTTGGCCATTTTAACGTTATTTTTTTTATTACCATTTTTGTATACGTGTTAAAAATGTACATTACTCTATACGTATTTTCCTATTTTTAATTACAATTTCAAAATACATGGTTATATTAAAGGAAAACATAATAATATATCTATTTTATTAGCGTTTCTTTATTATGGTAATTAGATTTTTAATTATCTTTTTTATATACGTACTTAATTACTGATGCTATATTATTGTAATTAGATTTTTAGTTACCTTTTTTATATACGTTTTTAATAGTTTATTACCAAAACACATGTTTATATTACCAAAACACGATTCCGTTACCATAAAATTACATGTATTAGAGTTTCTTTATTATGGTAATTAGATTTTTAATTATCTTTTTTATATACGTACTTAATACTTTATATTAAATATACGTACTTAATACTTTATATGAATTTTATCATTCAAAATACATGTATATATTACCATTTTTAAATGTAATAATTTATTAGATATTATTACATATAAAGTAGTGAATATAATTAAATACAATTACCATTTGTATAAATTAACATAATACCGAAATAATATATCTATTTTATTAGCCTTACTTTATTATGGTAATTAGATTTTTAATTACCTTTTGTGATATACGTGCTTAATTTTTTACTCCCTCCGTCCTCCTGTATTTGTCCACTTTCGTTTTTACACACCATCCATTGCACTTCTTTAATCCATTTTATCTTGTAATTTGTATATTAAAAAATTATAAAAATTATATATTAATAATCCATATGTTAAGACAAATCAAACAAGATCACACATGACTATATTTAGGCTTACACATTGAGAGAATTTGATAAGTCAAAGTGCTTAGATGAACAGTTCCAAAAGAAAAATGTGGACGAATACAGGGGGATGGAGGGAGTATTTAACATGGCGTGTGTGAATACTTTATTACCAAAATACATGTTTATATTAATTTAATTGTTTAAAATAAATGTGTATATTACCATTTTTAAATGAAATAAGTTATTAGATACTATTGCATATATATTAGTAAATATAATTAAATACAATTATTACCATTCGTATAAACTGGTTAAAAAAGGATTGATTTATTAACGGTAAGTGTAATTATGTTTGAATATTTTATTATTACTTTAAATTACTTACCATTTTAATTGAGTAATTTTAATGCGCATGTTTGGCCAGTGTGTTTGGTGTAATAGATTCTTCATGAAATCAGTCATACATTTTTGGACAGTATGGAATTCATACATGAAAATAGTTATACACATTTCTGGCAATGTGAAATTCATACATGAAAACAGTGTGGAAATAATACATAAAAAGAACTATACATTTTTTCGGGTGTGTGGAATTCATACATGAAAATAGTCATTCACTTTTTGATTGTGTAGAATTTTTACATGAAAATACTACCCCATAAATCAATGGACATTAAACTCCAACATGAAATTAAAGAACACAATAATACACTTACACACTACTGTAAGATATAACAACATATATCATTCTACACTACCACATTAAATATGTAACACCCTAATCTGTCCAGGTCTGCAGCCCCTTTCAGACTAAAGTACTAACTTGGTAATC